GATTATCTTTTGTGTCTGTGTTAATTGGTTTCCCTTTTCTTTGTTGAAGAGGGTCTGTGCAGTCTTTCTGCCTAGTCCGCTATCTTGCCGGATCCCCAATTCAGTCTTTAACAATGATTTTTATATCGCTTTCCCATTCTATTACATTTTGTACTAGTTCAATGCAGTGCTAGAGAGAAAGTGTAATTGAGAAAGCATTAAAAAAATGGAAAAAATGTGGCACATATAGAATTTATTGAACAATCTTGCTGATAGACCTAAATAAATTGCCAAGAAAAAGGTTATTTCCTCCCATATCCTTTCCCCAAGCCCTCTGGATTTCTTATGTAAATAGTAAAATAATTTAAATGGATTTATTGTTATATCATAACTCTATATTAATCATTGTATCTGGGTCTCATCCCTCAGCAAAACTGTTTTAGAACAATACCAAAATTAAAAATATTTTGAAAATTATATTTTTATCTGAATAGTACGTCAGAATTTAGATGTCACAGTGAGAATGTTTATCATTGAAGTGTTGTAGAAGTAACAATCTATGTTCACTCTGATAGCTTATGTCTTCTCTTTGTTTAGCTGCATTAATATGATGGGGGTAAGATAACTTTTCTTCCTTTAAAGCAATGTATTAAAAACATACTTGAACAATAGCTTAACTTAAGTAGAAGGTGTGAAGGTTTATGTTTGGAAGTATAAGTCATTAATTTTTATATTAAAATCTTTAGCAATAGGATAAATGAACATGTAATGTTTGAAGCAGAAGCTTGCCAACAATTTTTCCTTTGAGTCATCCTAAAAGGTTTCCCTTTAGTTGCACAAAAATGGAGTGAGGTCAAGGGTACACAAAGAGGACTCTCTTTTCTTGGGTTTTTGTGGATGTTGGGGGCCAATGTGGCCTCTTTCTGGACAGGTGCCTGTTTTAAGTTAATAGAGCAGGATATAGGTAGGCAAATGAAGTTAACTAAAATATCCATTTTTAAGAGGAAAAAAAATTCTCCTTAGAAAATATTTTTGTCCAGTGTGCACATGAAATATATTCAGTGAAGTCCTATTTTATTCATTAATTCATTTATTGATTCAATACCTATTTGAATGACTCCCACTCATATGCCAGGTTACCAGATATTGGGCTAGTGGGAAAAAATTGAAATTATAATCCTTTCTCTCAGTGAAATTGAGAGCTAATTGAAAGCAGGATGGAAAGGGAAGGAAGTTGACACATGGAATTTATTCCTGTGCTAAGCATACCTAGGGTGCTCTGGTGGTGCTGTTGTTAAGGAAGTGGGCTACTAACCATAAGGTTGTCAACTGAACCCACAAGCTTCTCTGTAGGATAAAGATGAGGCAGTCTGCTTCAGTAAAGATTTACAGTGTTGGAAACCCATAGGGGATGCTATGAGTCAGAATCTATGGAGTCATACTCTATAGCAGTGGGTTAAGCATCCCTACATCTTAATTGCTGTTAATCATCTGAAACCTTTCAACAGACTTGTGAGGAAGCTGTAGTACTGAAGAGGCTGCATACAGTTAGGGATAAAAGAGAAGCTTTAGTCAGATGGCCTAGATTCAAATATCTTGTTAGTTAGCCTCTGGTTTAATTTACTTTCTCTGTGCCTTGGTTTTCCACCTCTCTATATGGGGATGATGATGGCACTTACCTCACAGGTTTGTTGTGTGGATTGAGGTGCTTAGAGCAGTACCTGCACATAGTAGGTGACTAGGTAGTGGCTGCTGTTACTATCATCTCCATTTGAGAGATAAAATCTCAGAACACCAAGTGTTAGAAAATAAACCTCAATTGTGAAACCTTAGGAACTCTGCTCTCCTTACATACTTTGTTTACTAATCTTTTTTAAATAAACTAACAGAAGGCTTAGGAGCTCTGGTAGCATAGTGCCTAAGGCACTTGACTGCTCACCAGAAGGCTGGCGGTTTAAACCCACCAGCTGCTCCTCGGAAGGAAGGTTGGGCAATCCTACTTCCGTAGTGATACTGCCTCGGAAACCCAAGGAGGGGTC